TAATTTGTATTGTCTTTACAAACAACCGAAACATAATTAGAAATACTTATACATCGCCACCCTTCTGTATGTGCATGCATCAATTTTATTTAGTGAATTCAAACAAGCAAGTTATAAGAAAAATATTTTAAAATATGAAGAAGGTGATTTTGAAAGTATGAATAACACTCTTCTTGATGTTGACTGGGTGAATCTATCTTCAAACCAGGACTCTAATACATTTAACAGTACCATAACTGATTTAATCATGGATCAGGTAAATGACTTCATTCCTGTTAAAATAATAACAGTACGTCCTAATGATAAACCATGGATGAACAACAACATAAGATTAAAGATGAGACAACGCAATACAATTAACAGAAAGGCCAAATTAACAAATAGCCTCACTTTTGGAACAGATTTAGGATTCTCAGGAATGAAGCCATTGACCTGATCCGTGAAGCTAAGTCAACATATATCAAAACCCTAGAAAACTCTTTAAATTACAATAAGATTCCCCCAGATAAATGGTGGAAAATTGCTAAATCTATCTGTAACTTCACCAATAAATCTTCTCCAATTCCTCCTCTTGTAATTAGTAACCAAGCTGTTTACCATCCTATTGATAAAGCTGAGATCCTCAATAATCACGTCATTAATATCTCCACATCCTCACCTGACCTCCAACTACCTCAGACAGCACAACCAGCAATTCCTTATTAAATGTAGACAGTCATTTTCATGTTTTAACGCATCTGTGTCTTTATTTGATTCACTGACAGTGTTGTCGTCTGCATAATTATATAATTTACAGGATGTCACTTATAAAAACATATCATTTACAAATAAATTAAAAAGCCAGGGTCCTAAAATAGAACCCTGGGGTACCCCCTTCAGCACTTCCAGCCAGTCACCGCATTGGGAGCCAATTTTTACCGGCTGCTTCCTGCTGCTCAGGTAGCTTGACACCAAGTTAACTGAGGCTTTGCTCAGGCCATAGGCCTCCAGCTTCCCGACCAGCAAGTTATCAGGAAGACTGTCAAAAGCCTTGGATAGGTCCATCAGTATGCTGCCGTCCTAACACCATGGTGGCGGAAATAGATCCAAAGTAAACGCTATTGTCGTAAACAACTGACGACTACTGCTTTATTTACAATACACACCATTTTCGTTGAAAATATTATTTGATTATTGTTAAAAAAGGAATATTTTGTGTTTTTAGTTGATATTGTTTCTATGCAATTTGATTTAACCGCACGACTTGCGAGGCACGTGATTGTCACGTGATCGTAATTAACATAGCGCGGCAACATCTTATGACGCTTATGGGCCAAAATGTAAAGCAATTTCTTGGTGCAAATTAGGTAAATCATGACTATTTATATCACTTCTTTCATCCCATTGACTTTTACATTACGACATCGTTAGCTAGGATGAAGTATAACGATACATGTAGTTCTTATAGTTCTTGCTTGAAGTTATTTGAAAGTGAAAGTAGAATTTACATACTGCTCATTACGACGACAAAATGAAATCTCGATTTTTTTCAACTGGCTGATATTTATGACAATTAACAAATTATTTCAATTATTACTTCATCAATTTGTATCAGTATCTTATCAGGTTTCCACATTAATCTATGTCTGATGATTATAGGGCATCTCACGTCCGGTTCTAAAAAAGATCGAAAACAGCTTAATATTTTTATTGTAATGTATCGTTTTTTATAAAAAAAAATTCTCTGGCAAATAAAATATCATAATAAGCGGGTTCCACCGTGCCGTTATTATTTATTTCTGACGGAATTTCAGACTCATGTGGAGCAATGCAAAACATAGCACTTGCCAAATTCATTTCAAATGTTGCATGTGGTTAGGTAATAATATGTTTTTAACAGAGGAAATATTTTGGGCAAAATTTTATTGAATTGTCGAGGGCTTGAAATCCCTGAGCATTCATCCCTTCGATGGCCGATTGGCACTCATATTACAGTACTATGCTGACTGAATCATCGAGTATCTTGACGTGTGAACTGAACGCTTTTGTAAAGATTGCGTGGCAAGGTGCGTACTCTGAATCAGTGAATAATGTTAATTTCTTCCGACATAGACAGTGTGCAATATAAATGAAACTCCAGAATGATATTATGTACCACCCCAAGCTTCTATAAAGCCAATATATGGTCCACGTCTCTAACGCACTGTCACCTTAATGTTGAAGTGAATGTATTATGTTTTGGGTTCATTGCGTGCGTAGCAAGCTTATCATATTTTAATGTGTACTGATTCTGTAACTGTTTGTGTATTACACTGCCCGTGCAATATATTTTTTATAAAATCTGTTAAATTGGTCAGCGAACCATGATAGCGACGTTTGTAACTGTAAGGCCATTGGTCCGTAGTAGTAACAGGGTACAAGTGTTTAATTTCAAGTTTTTAATCAGATATTATTTTTCTTGCATGATGGATAAAACATTACACATTCACAGGTCATGTTGAAAAAAGTGCGTTGTCTGTGACGTAATAGCGCGTGTCTGCTGTCTTGATAGAGGTAGATCAAGACAGGTTTATCTTTTCCCTACCAAACACGGGAATGTGTTGGAGAATAATATAATCTTTCACCCCCTTGGGGGTGAGATAGGAGAATCTCAACCCGAGGGGGGGGATTCTTAAGTTGCCAAACACGAGGCTTTGCCGATTGTTTGGCAACTAAAGAATCTTTCCCCGAGGGTTGAGATTCCACTATCTCACCCACAAGGGTGTGAATGATTCTTTTTCTCTTACCCTGTTCTTTCATTGTGTATCATATGCACAATGTAATGATAACGTTACATGCTAAATTCAGGGTTGACGTGACGTTGATGGATTGTTGACATGACGTCATTGTATTGTTATGTGACGTCATGCCATTGTTAGGAATAGGTGAATCCCCCCGTCTCAACCCGAGGGTGAGACAAGGAAATCTCACACCGGTAAAAATGCGGATACACCTGTCCAGGGTAAGAGAAAGGTTTATCTTACACACAGGGAAATGAGAGAATATCCTCCGCCGAAAGTGCAATAAATTCAAAAACTACTACAAAACTTCATGTAATAACAGTCGTTAGGTTTTCCTCTAACGAAATTTTGCATTTATTTCCTGTCAAATAATATAAGATATTGGTGTGCAAAATTTTTATTGATGTGTTTCTATATAATACTTCTTTTTGAACATCGGCACTTTGCTAAAGTTGGACATATGAGCAACGAACTGATTTTAGTGTAGAATGAGAATAATTATGCTAAACTGGAAAATGTATCGGTTGATGTAAACAATTTCATATTTTATTTTGTAGAAAAGAAATAATTTGATTGATGAAACTAAATTTCAGAAATCATGCGCTGTCCAGATTTCATCTAAATATAATGAATTATCTGACACCCCGGCTTTTCTTACAACGTACACCTGGTCATTCATGGAAAATGGAATATTTTATCAGGTAAGTAAGCCTGGTAGCTAAATATTTCATGAGTAAACATAAGTGGCATACAGGGTCGATATGTGTGACACGTACCCTGTACTGTGGACGGCGTCACAATCTATAACACTACCATGGCACAGTAATTCCATCAGGAACGCATTATCCCACGTAACATACTCTCTCTCAGGGCTGTAAGTACATGTTTTAATCTTTTCCATACACTTACATTCTTGTCTGTCTTGCCACGTCGAACTCGTACCGAGCCGTGTATATTGTCGTATTTACCTCGATGCTATATGTTCTGTATTTCGAACAATCAGCATTACGTAGATGTTGATATACATTTTAATCGTTAATCCCAAAGGTATGATTTAAAACAAGCTCTGTTGTTGGTTATTGCACATATTACTCACAATAGTATTGGTTAATGTATATGCTAATTGTATTCATTGTATTAAATTGGATATCTATGTTCTGTAAAGCGCTTTAGAGTGGCTTATGTTAGCTAGATATATATCACATTTTGTATTATATTTATATATAGGAACACGTCGGTGGTGAATTATATAATTGTGATCAACCATCGCTTGACTGACAGGTATAATGTCAAATGTTCAACTAATACACCAGGGATATACAGATATGCATGTACATGTATAATGTATAATAAAAAGAAGACCGATCGGTAGGGGTTCTAGTGCCGTGTTGGACGCGCAGTCGGTCTATATATCTTTCCCCTCAAGACTTGGCGTTCGGCGACATCTTTTCTTTCTACCAATTTGACCCCTCCGACAAGGTTAGACTGACATTCTGAAGTTCCACACCAGTCCAAAAAAGTGTCCCTGCCTTAACATGGCCAAGATTTTCGCATTCTCGGATGTCTTGCCGTCCTGCCTTCATGGCATTGTTGACGGATGGCTCTCCTCTCTATCATGGGATACTAGGCTTTTAAAGAGCCTGTAATTGGTCAGAACACCAGTTACGATATAGAATTTCTTGGTCCAACTCGGGCTGTTTCCATTGTGACAAAAGAGACTTAATCACAAAGCTTCGACCTAGACTGTTCAAATTGAGGCTTTTCCCCTCTATGTAACCGTTGCATTACAATGCCGCAGCATTGATTAGAGCAAGAGATTGTTCTTCTAGAAATTTAAAATTTAAAATTCAAGTTACTCAAATAAGTTTGGAACCCCAATTTGAAATCTTCACAGAACGACCTGATTGGTACCTACATACCTACCATTCACTAGGGTGATAGTTTGTATTATAGGATCTTTGTACAATATACACAATAATGACAGCTTAATTATATTGATTTTAGTATAATGAATATTATATTGATAACATTTTGCGTCGTACATTTGTATGTAAGAAAAGTTGTAAGTTACGTGACAAAGCAAGAAGTATTCAGCGTAATATCCCTATTTTCAAACACACATATCTCATGTACTGTTTATTGTTCATTTTTCAGAATACATTTGATACTACATATACCACAGTGACGTAAGTGTTGCCATGGAGATCAGGAAGATGGAAGATAGAGGAGGGGAAGTGATAATCTCCAAATACTATGACGGAATTCACTTCCAACCATTGGTTTCGGGGAACGTAAAAGACCATTTAGAGGCAGTGAGGAACATGAAATACAGGAAAGGCGACGTGCTTCTTGATTCATTCCCTAAAACTGGTATGTCGACAAGATTAGCTAGACTACAATATCAATGTTTATAAATATTCAATCACACATGTATTTATATATATATATATATATTTAATTTAAACATATTTTATTGCATAAATGAAGCAAACGGATTAGGTACAAGTTATATCAATATTACAATGGCCCTCTCCATTTTACATAAATTGAGAAATGGCATAATTTGATCGCAATGAATACCATTTTTTCATACAATAAATGAAATAATACAACAGATATAAATATGATGCGTTGATGTCATATCACATAAACTAAACCTTTGGCTGGATTTTATATAGTTACTGAGGGTATCAACATTTACAGAAATGCGTACTACGTCTAGAATATTCAATATCATATTTCACGTGCCTTATTTGCTCGCTTGTCACATTTGAGGTGTTTTACTTCTGTTCTGTATCAAGGTTTACTTGAGTGGTACGAAACGACCCATTTACTTGGTTTCTGTTCTAAATTTGTATATAAACCACACAAAATGAATCGCCTTCAGCTAAAAGGACAATTCGAAAAAGGAAGCTTAGAAGTATACCAGAAAAGTTAACTATTACATAGAAACGAAGTATGAATGCTTCGTTTGTGTACCAATCAAATGTGTATAGTTTAATCTTGTCTGCAAACCCTTCACAATTACTCTTTACAAACAATATCTTGGCTTCCTGCATCACCAAGTAAACCCTACCGATTCATTTTCCAATTGGTTGGAATGACGAAATACTAGCTATCACACGGCTTTTGGAATACCCATGAATGATGAGGATACGGACCTGCCTCAAATTCTTTGGATTCCAAAAACTTCACAAATATCCTTAAATACAACATTTTATCTCTATCGTTGGTACTTGCACAACCAATCCGTTATCCAAACTTCCTTCTACCCTTGATTTACAGTCTTATTCTGACGATGTATATACTATAGGAACTGAGAAATTTCACTACGAAAGCACATAGCAAACTGAAGGGACCAACTATTAATGATTCGTCTGTGGACCAAACAAAAAAGGAATGATCGGTTTGTGTACCAAGCAAATCTTCATTTTGATTTCTTAGCAGAGTTTTAACAATTAAAATGAATTAAAAATTAAAAAGACTTTTGGCGCCAATTGACGACCAATAGAAATACATATCGGGTGTGAAGATGTATTTAGTCATCTAACTTACCACGTAGATTTTCTCTGTGTACCCCGGTTTTCACCCACATTAAAACCCATTGCACAATTCTTTATCCAGACCAAAAACAGTAATTGAATAGTAAAAAGAAAATCTGTTCCAATAATGTTGTAAATGAATACATTTTTTATTTTTTTGCATTTCGACGAATATGTATTTGCGGCTTTGTATCAAACGACTTGTTAACGATTTATTAAGAAATATTTACAGGGTAATGTTTATTCTTCAAAATACGTTTAAATTCCGATCTTTCTGGACTGCTGACCTGTATTTTTAGTTGTTAAAAAAACATTAAGATTAATTATATTTTTTCTCTCATATTCTTATGGATATTATATATGAGAAAAAATATTGTATTGTGAGTTGTAGCTGGGACAATACACGAATGATGTGTTTGTGCCTGAGTAATTAAATATATTTTATTAAGTAAAAAAGATATTATCAAGTAATTTTGATCGCTTTACAATCAATCCAGACGGGATAAATGACACAAAACTAATTAATGTCATATCTGAGTGTTCAAAAGATGTGACAGACAGAATATGAATAGGAATGTTTTAATAACATATATCGACTAGCATGTCTGCTATGTTTATTTAAAGGAACACACTGGACCTATGACATTCTGTATATGTTGAAAAATGAAAAAGCAGAATATAGTACCGGCCATATTGTGAGTCTCGACTATGAAACAGTTGAAAAAAAACGATGCCTTAGACAGCCCAAGAGTTCTGGTGTCTCATTTCTATCCGCAACATATTCCAAAATTTGTTGAAGACGAGAAATGTAAAATCGTCTATGTCTACCGGAACCCAAAAGATACGGCAGTATCTATGCACTCCTTCATGAAACGACTAAACGTCGAGGGAATGAAAGGTTATAAAGGCACATGGGAACATTTCTTTGAATTATTCACCACAAAACCAGGTGAGTACAGGTACAACAAGTTCACACAAAAGTCAGGCGAGGTCAGTTCAACCATTGATATTCTTCTGATTTGCAATCATTGCGACGCAAATACATTTCAAAGCACGTTTTACACGGTAAGGAAATCAGATCGCGTAGCATTGTAATTTCGTAATCTGTGACTATATAGAGCTTTTTGTTTGAACTTTATTGTATACCACGCGTGCAAAACCAAAAGCGCTCTCTCTGCTCTCTATTAATTTTTAACTGAATGACCATCCATGTCTAGAGTGTACCAACACACGCAGTAATAAAGTTTTAAGGTGCATATAAAACTATTGATAAAGTTTCAAATTTATGTTTCTTAAAACAGCACTTAATGTAAACAAAGTGTTTTAATTGTTGATTCCCATAAATATAATAACGCTCAAACCGTTCACATTTCTTAATCCATTCCTTTTGCATGCATGCATATTTTCTTATTTTGTTTGTTTGTGCGTACACTTATTTAAACGACAAAACACAAAACACATAATAAAACAGATTGATACTAGCAGTTCGTACAAAAGATTGTACATAAGCATTAAGGAAAAAGAGAGTATAACTTCTCAATGCATATCATTTATTTATTCATAAATTTACATTATTTTTAAATTTTCAGGGCACTATAATACTTGGTTCGAACACGTGAAGTCGTGGTTGGACTTCAAGAAGAAACATCTGGACGTACCCATTCTGATGGTATCATTCGAGGACATGAAAAAGGTACTTGGTTTATTTCCAAGTCAAATATTTAGAAACATGCCTTTTTAATTTAATAACGTGTGTGTGTGTGTATGTTTTGATCACTGCATCAATAAGTCCAGTAAAATTGTTTTCCTTTTCCTATGGGATTACGTTCTACCAACAGGCAACACGATTTAAGTTGATCGATTTTTTAACCTTTAACATGGAATATTTTATACTCTTGCCAATAAAACTGCGCGAATTCGGTTACTATTCAATATAAGATTGGCCCAATATTGGGCTACTTTGATATTCAAATGTCACAAACATTATAGGTATTATGCCGGTTTTTCAATGATCTGTCGTTTTCATTATGTGAAATCAAATTATGATAAACGAATAATGAACTGTTTCCTTTTACCTTATTTTCCACAATTCCGACTGTCAATTTTTCAGAACCGACATATTGAATATTATGTTCTAAAATTCAAAATAAAGGTCGGATTTGTTTTGTTTACATCAAAGTTTTTCTAAAAAACAAAAATATTCAAAAGTTTCATTAGCAGTCTTTATTAACATCCAACATTAAGCCCTTGTACATAGATCAAGTTTTTTTCACTTTTTGTTAAATAATATAAAAGAATGTTAAAAGAATAAGGTGGGGTTTACACCTCGGGACAAAACAAGACCCAGACGTTCTTGATGAAGTTACAAATAAATGTCAGTTTAGCGTCATGTCCAAAGCAAAAACCTCCAATACGAAAGAAACAGCATTGACCAAAGCCGGCAGCAACCCATTCTACAGGAAAGGTAAGTTATATTCTTATCAATTGCTTGTTACATATAGAATTGTTCTTCCTGTAAATTTCATTTCTGATAAAAAGAACTGTTCTTGTACCTCTATATAGTGTTGATCTTCTTTAAAAGATTTCTTATAATTTTTTTCAGCATATTTTGATGATAAAATAAGCATTCATTTCGTGCTCAGCCTAGGTCTAAACAGTCCTTAATTATAACATTACGCAACTACTTGCCTCATATTAATGGTTTACACCCGACATTGTTTATACTTATATTGCATATATCTGTATAAAATGGCAGCAGCTATTCTTTTTTTAATATGTTCTTTTAAGAATGTTTGTTATAACAAGTGTTTAGGAATATTATATTAGATCAGTGACATTGTACTTAAAACATGTTAAGATTTTTTTCTCTTGATCTTGTTACCAATTATTGAGATCAGCAATATGATATTATCACTAAAATGAGAAAAATACACTATGAGTATTCAAAATAAGTACGGGTTATTTTACATTTTCCGTTCCGATATTAAAGAGTTATTTTTGTTTGCTGTAAGCAATACCAATTTTGACATATATCTGGTTGTGAAAGAATAATGATTAAGCTGTTGTCACAACTCGCATGCACATGAGGTTAACTTAATTTCCCGATTTCAATATTCAAGGTGAAGTGGGTGAGTGGAAGAACTGGCTAACTGTCGCACAGGACGAAACGTTTGATTCCGTGATAGAAAAAAATATGACTGACATTGATTTGGAAGTTAAATATACGCTGTGATAGACTTTTCAAGACGGAATATAGAACAATATCCCAGAGAAGTGAATACTACCAAATCATTTATAAGGATTAACAATAAAATATGTTTAAACTAAACAAACTGAGTATTTTGTTTTACATTATTTCACGAATGATTGTATTGTAGAATTGTTATACATTTCTAAACGTCATTTAATCTCAGTTCTGTGTGTTGTTTGAATATTGTAGAATCAATCTGTAACTGTCACATATTATTCAAACGCTTACCCTTCCGGAACTCCGAGTCTTACTATCCTTATTTTCTTTTCGAGGGTCTGAATGTAAGTCTTTACTTCGTTCATATTTTATCTTAATTTTACCTATTTTAGTTCAAATTGCGATTTTGCTAATACTTCGGTACTCTTTTGTCGTGTTTTTATGTAGTTACAATAATAAAACCTGGTCTTATTAACTTTTAATATTTGGTCAAAACTTTTTGTTCTATTTTAGCAATTTTGTCACCTTGACAAAACGAAAAAAAAAATCTGATACTTTGAATATGGTTTCTTTAGAGAAAAACAAATGTGTGGTTATGGTATAAGTATCTCAACTGTTTCCAGGTTGTGATTCAGGAACTGGCTGCATTCGTCCCTTAATGCCAAGCAATTGTTTATATAGTTTTGGGGTGGGATCTCAACAGTTTCAAAGTTATGACCCCAAGGGTTTTAGTCTCAAAGGGTGGGGCCAGATCCCGGACCATCCTGGACGCATATTGCATTCGTCTCTTTATACTCAGCAATATATACATGGTTAGAGGATGGGGATCTCAACTTTTTCTAAGTTTTGACTCAGCAACAAGGTCCCTAGGGGTGTGGCTAGACCCAAGAGTGAATGTTAATAACATAATTGTGTTCGTCTCTTTATGTCCAGCATGCGTATATTTAGTTTTTTTGTTAGGATCCCAACCGTTTCAAAGTTATAACCCGGGGACTAAGTCCTCAAGGGTAGGACCGACCCCAAGGGCCACCATGGAAGCATATGATTGTTATCCAGTGCAAAGCTCTAGAAAAGAAGTCGTTTAAAGCAATTTAGTTAAATTTCAATCAGTGGTAAAGAAGTCTGAAGAAATTGTTGTCATACGGATGGACGACGGACGCCACGGTATGGCATAAGCTCATATTGGTTCTTCAGACCTGTTGAGCTCAACATGTCAAAAACCTTTTGGTCTAATATAAGTTTGATTTGTTGATTAAGACAATGAACATATTATGGAGTATTCCAATATATTTTTACAAACATCAATTTTAAAACACAGTTATGCTTTTGTCATTTAATTATAAACAGTATGACAAGATGTCTGTCAACAACAAAATCACCTGTGTCTAAATGCACGTGCTTTTTTTCCCCATGAACTCCAATTTCCTCACACATTAAGACCCGCAGCCACATACCAAATATATATTACATATACAAATTGGATTTTTTGAGAATTTGTATGCAAATGTCATCCTCATTAAAATCACATTAACTTGGATAAATTAGAGCTACTTTATATAATTATGCACTTTTCATTAAGCCATAGACGTGTAGGATTTATATATGGGTCTAGTTTTGGATAAATGTTAAAAAAAAAAAATAACAAGAGAATACTGAAATGTAATCCGACATTTGTTGTCAATGAAATATACTTACAGAAGTTATATGTAGCCATTTCCTGCGTTTAGCTTGAAAAACGCGAGTAAACTATCATGCTTATCAATAATACGTTTTAAATAGAACACTTGCTAAACATATAACGTATTAATGTTGTTTATTGTTTGATTACCAAAATGACTGATTAACCGGTAGCTCGACGGGAAGAATGTTTCGGTTTTTCATTCCTTTTACCCTTTTAATACCAATTATGAGTCCTAATGAAATAAGATGATTGCTTTTTTATTTGGCATCTCTCCCCGTATAGCTAGTGAGTATTCAGGGTCATATGACAGCCTTTTGAGGTTTGGGACGCGTGTCACTACCTATTTAAATCACAGCGTCAGGAGCAGCTGATGTCGGGGTTTTAGACAGTATCTTAAACTATTGTACAAATATATTGTTGTTTTTTAAACAGGAAAGAAACATTTTCAAATATCTGAATTTCAAATTTTCGTCAGACTAAGTTGAAACAGCTATTTACGAATAGCTAACTTAACGCCATAAATTAATAATATTTTGACATATGATGGGACGAAAGGTGGCGGAAATCGATCCAAAGTAAGCGCTATTGTCGTAAACAACTGACGACTACTGCTTTATTTACAATACACACCATTTTCGTTGAAAATAATTTTTGATTATTGTTAAAACAGGAATATTTTGTGTTTTTAGTTGTTATTGTTTCTATGCAATTTGATTTAACCGCACGACTTGCGAGGCACGTGATTGTCACGTGATCGTAATTTACATAGCGCGGCAACATCTTGTGACACTTATGAGCCAAAATGTAAAGCAATTTCTTGGTGCAAATTAGGTAAATCATGACTATTAAGTTTGGAACCCCAATTTGAAATCTTCATAGAACGACCTGATTGGTACCTACATACCTACCATTCACTAGGGTGATAGCTTGTATTATAGGATCTTTGTACAATAAACACAACAATGACACCTTAATTATATTGATTTTAGTATAATGAATATTGTATTGATAACATATTCTAATGCGTCGTACATTTGTATGTAAGAAAAGTTGTAAGTTACGTGACAAAGCAAGAAGTATTCGGCGTAAAATATTTCTAACTTAAAACAAACCCCGATCTTTTATATATGCCTCTTATTGATGATGAATAATGCATATGTAGGTCCATTGTCTTGAAATAATGCCAATTAAAGGCATTTCGCCCTCCATTTCGGTAACGGGAAACGTGCCGTGATTTGCGTAATTTTGAAAAATTAATTTAAAAAAGACGTAAACAAAATAAACGCCCAAACTTCTACATATGCCTCCAGTTGGTGACGAAGAATGCACATTAGGGTTCTCTTGAAATAATGCTAATTTAAAGCCCATTTCCTTCCATTTCGGTAATTCAACTCCATTCCGGTCCATTTCGGTAAATACCCAAGCCCGCAAATAAGTGAGACCCAGACACCGAGCTGCACACGGTCACACTAATTTGCGCCATAGGAGATTTCGGTCACCCTAATGAGTGTCCTCAGAGTAATGAGTGTCCTCAGAGTGTCCTCGGAGGTTTTTGCGAGCCCGAGATTGGGTTTTAGATTTTGAAAGCCGTTACTGAAGGTATTTGATTTGGTAATACTTGTTATTTTCGTGATATATTTATATACATAGTGTTACATTATTATACGTTATCAATGTCCTAAGCGACACATCAGTACTTGGGCCTAAGCGACCCTAATACAAGCCTCATTCTGAATACCCAGCGCACCTGGTTGGTCGTCTTTAAAGCAC